CGCTAGAGGGGTGGGGTGGGGAGAGAGAGGGGAGGGAACTTCAAAAGGGAGGGGATATATGTATACCTGTGGCTGATTCATGTTGAGGTTTGACAGAATACAACAAAATTCTCTAAAGCAATTATCCTCCAATAAAACATAGATAAATTTAAAAAAATAGGCTGTGTTGACTGAACTACTATTCTGTATACCTGAAACTAATACAATATAATAAATGAACAATATTGCAATAAAAGTTTTAAAAGATAATATGGAAGTGAAGGGGACCTGAGGTTGGGGAATCACAAAGTTTTCCCCAAAGGAATGACATCTAAATTAAGAAAAAATGATTAGAATTAATCTGGTGAAGTGAAGATCAGATAACATGAAGGCATTCCTGAAAGGTGAGAGCCTGGCTCTTTCAGAGGCCTGAAGACAGACCAGGACGAGTAGGTCCTTGTTAACAATGCTGTTGAAGCAGAGGAGGCTGGCCTGACGGATCATTCAGACCCTTGTAAATTCTATTCAATACAGTATACTAACACATATATATTGGATTTAGAAAGATAACCTTATATGCAAAAAAGAAAAAGAGACACAGATGTACAGAACAGAATTTTGGACTCTGTGGGAGAAGGCAAGGGTGGGATGTTTCGAGAGAACAGCATCAAAACATGTATATTATCTAGGGTGAAACAGATCACCAGCCCAGGCTGGATGCATGAGACAAGTGCTCAGGGCTGGTGCACGGGAAGACCCAGAGGAATCGGGTGGAGAGGGAGGTGGGAGGGGGGACCGGGATGGGGAACACATGTAAATCCATGGCTGATTCATGTCAATGTATGACAAAAGCCACTACAATATTGTAAAGTAATTAGCCTCCAACTAATAAAAATAAATGGGAAGAAAAAAAAAAGATTTTGAACTCACCACAGACAGCAACTAAGAGGCTATTGAAAAGTTTCAAGTGTAAGCTAACATAATTTTTAAATGTAAATTTTCTCTATAAAAAAGGCAAAATCTTTCCTATTCCACAAGTGTGGGCATGATGCCATGATGATTTGAATTTCCTCTAAGTTGTAGGATACTAATAGAGACACTTTCTCTGCATGAGGCTTTGATGCGGGTGCGTAGAGTGGGTAGTGGGTAGAGTGTCCTTGTGGGACTAAATACCGGGAAGAAACGAGGAAGAAAGGGCTTAGAAGCTGCTTCTTCTTTGTGGTTCTGGCTGAGACAGGTCCTACTTGTTCATGTCTGAAGCAGCAGGAGTGCAAGTACATCTTCCTGTCCTACAAGGGACCCTGGTGCTCAAGCTGGTCCATCTGCAGCCTTTAGCAATGTCATTCACTTTCCAAGTATCTCAGTCACCCCCTTGAGAACAATACCTAGATCCTCTCTTCCCTTGAGAAGACTTTCACTGTTAATGTCTTGGTGTGACTGTCCTGTGCTCAGACATCATGTGAATGACCAATGGAAATATGCAGCTATTTAATGTTAGTCTGTGGATAGTCTACTAATGCTTGACAGGACACTCAGACTGAGCTTGGACTGCCCTCCCACATTTCGGCGATGTGACTCAAGCTGTCTGCTCAATAGCTGATCCAGAGCCACCACAAACAGCCTGCCTGTAAGTGAACTCGTTGTCTTTCCCTGTTTAGCTGGCTTCTGACCCTCTATTTCTGTCAGTAACACTAGCTTTTACTCCCTCCCAACACCCCAGAACTGGAATCATCCTTGACTCCTGTAGGGTCTGCCCTTACCAATGCCAAGTATTGAGTTGCTCCTGATGATCTGGTGGTGGGGGATCCTGCCTACCTGAGGGGATCCTGCCCACCCTGCCCCCAGGGCCCGGATGCCCACCAGGCCTCTCTGCCAGGCCAGCTTCTCCTTTCCTCAGTCCCAGTCCCAGCTCTTAAGGGGTTCCCAGGCTGTGGCAGCTCTCAGCAATTTCCCTTTTTTCAACTTCCTGCAGTATTCCTCATCTAAAACTCACCATCTTGACCTCCCATCTTTTCAAGTGTACATCCAACTTCTGTCATTAGTTAATAGGCCACTTAAGTGAAGAATCAAGTCTTTCTGTCACGTTGTATGCTCAGCTCCCAGTATAATATATGGCCCATAGGATTTGCTTAATGGGTGTATTTTGACAATAACCCACAGCCAGAAATAACTATAGGCCCATTGATCTCACTTTATTAAAGGAGTCTATGTTAAATATTCTTTTTCTCCAGAGCAGTGCTTTTAACTTTGGAGAACCAGCCACTACGACTCTAATTATAAGCATTCCTTTTTTCTCCAATTACCATTAAGTCTACAACTAGCTTCTTTAAATTACACTGGAAGTAGATTTGGGGAGTGACCACAGATGTTTGCTAGTGAGGAGTTCTTAGTCTAGACTAGAAATAGTTTTATTTCTAGTTTTATTCTATTTATTAGAAATAGTTTTATTCCGTCCCCAGACATTGTAGCAAAGCCACACTTAAATCATAGTCAAAAGATTACGAGAAACTTGCTTGCTTCAGTATATGGGTCAAACCGGTGTCACTTCTCGTTTGACTCCCTTAGCGTGCTTTGCACGGCCCTCCCCACCTCTCTGACCTCATCCCCACCAGTGCCCCCCCGCCCCATACCCCGGCAGCAGCAGCAGCTTTCGGTTCCCCAGACCCCAGTGGCATGCTGTCTGCACACCCTTCCCTGTTCCTTCCTCGGTTAGTTCCCGTCGTGCCTGGGCCACAGGCAGTTCGTCACTTCCTTAAGACAGTCCTTCTCTGATCTCCGGCACAGATCTACTTTCCTCGTTATACACTCCTACATCACTTATCACAACTGCAATTAACTGTGAAATAGTTTGTGTTCATCTCCACCAGATAGTAAGCTCTCAGATGTCAAATGCCTGCCATAAAAGCCTGACGCATTGTAACCAATAAATGCCTGAGTGAATAAGTAAATGAGCATTTTTTGAACGACCCATAAAATTTTCAGAGAAACAAGCCATTATAATATTATTTACGTCTAGAGATTAATTCTCCTTCTTGTCCTGCCCTGAATGAACATAGGAAGCTTTCTCTGGGTCATGTGATTCACATGGAAACACACACACACATTTTATAAAGTACGACTTTTGTAAAAGCAAGCCCCCAAACCGGAAAACAAAAACAAAAACAAAAACACTTGACTTGCTCCCAAACAGAACCCATGTAACTTAAATGATTGGGTAATAGGAACATTCAAAATATTTATTTTGTTTCAAATTGTCTCATTGGTGCAAACTAACCCGGGTAGTCACATCTTTTTTTTAAAACTTTAAATTATTCTGAAAATTCTATCCAATTGGGTAAAAAGTGCAAGCAAGCAGTCTCATAGATATTAATATGAATTATCTACATGTTGAAACTTTTTAGTACATGATTATCACCAAAGTTAATGTGGTCTTCTTCTCAGAAGGTCCCAGCAACCCCGCTGGTGTGTCTGTGACCTGTTTCTGTGTCCTTTCAGTCTTGAATTACCTGCTGAGTCAGACAACTGGAGAACAAATTGGCAACAACCACAGAGGAGACTTTTCTGATACAAAAATATGACCTTAATCCCCCCAAGCCTTGAATATCCTCTGTCAGGGTGCTAAAAGTTCACCAGATTTGCACTAAGATCTCACACTCTCATTCATGTTTCCTCTACAATTCTTGTCTTTACTGAGAGAGGGGACAGGACTCATTTTGTCAATTCTTTGACCAGGATAAATCATCTTTCAGTTAAAAGAAGGGAGAAGGGGAAAGCTAACTATTTTGGAACAGCTTTCAAACCCACGGATACTTGTGCATCGTTCTCCCCATCCGTTTGCTCATTTTATCACCTTATATCCCCTCGGCGAATAACAGTATGGATAAATGTTATGTTTTGAGGGCAGGGGACACACACACATGTAACTCACAGCGGGAGGAGGTTTATTTGGGGGGCATCAAATCCTTCTCTGGAGAGACTGACCTGCATGCATGTAAATGATCAGACCCGTCACGGTCCGTGGCAGGAGGCTCCTGGAACCCCGCATCACCATCAGACTTGCCACCGTTGACCGCCAGCATTTCAGTGCTGGAATCTGTCCCTGAAAATCTTCTCTTGATTGTGCTTTCATTTTGCTCACACCAATGTGAGAGCTGAGGACCCCCGCGGGGGTCCCCGCCTCTGCTCTCCTGTTGCCCCCTTGAGGGTCTTTTAGTCTCAGAGGACCTCGACAGGGAGACACCGCATCCTCCGTACGTTGTTCCTTTTGCTCCGTGCAGGTTTAAAGAGCAGCTTTCACAGCTGGTCAGCTCCGCGTGCTTTTTATCTTCGGATCCCAAGTGTGCTGGATTGATTTCCCTAGGAGCAGAAGACTCACCCAGGTTTCCGCTTGGTTTGTTCTTTCTCCTTCTTCTCCGCGACAGGCGGAACTTCACTTGGGCTCTTCTCTTTGCCTGAATCCAGTGACTCTCACGGGTGGAAGATGAGTCCGAAGAACCTGTGTCGGTCTCACTGCATCGGGGGCTGGGGACGTGGAGGTGCAAGTCGCTTCCTCTCCCTCTCCCCTGCTCTCGGGCACGCTCGTCCCTCTGAGCGGCCCGCCTCCGCCTCCTAGGCTTCTGTGTTACTGGTTTCTTAGCGGGCTCCTGCCTAGCAGGGCTCAGCGCTGTGACAGGGGTGCAGTGCTCAAGTGAGGCTCCTGACATGTCATGTGAGATGGCAGATCTAGACAAAGCGGCAGGCACAGGATGAGGGATTGGGGTGGGGAGGAAAGCCATGGGAATTGGAAAGGAGAGGACGGCCATGGGAAACAGAAAGAGAGAGAGATGAAAACAACAGCATGGACCCAAAGTTGGCAAAGGTCAAATGAGGGGGGTGCACTAAAGGAAAAACAATCAGGCTGATGTAAATTATCCACAGGCAAGATAAGACAGCAGCGAGAGTCACACAGTCTCATCATATACAGCAAGAGTACAGAACACTGGTCTAAAAACACCAAACGGGCTCGTTTGGTGCACACTTACCTGCAGATGTCCTGAGTGGATGGACAGACAGACAACCTTGACTGGCTCCTGGGAGCTGTCCCAGTTGTTGGACTGCTGGCCTGGAGAAACAAGTTAGACAATTTGGCATCTTGGTTAAGGTAATACATGGTCGATATCTTGCTTTTTTTCCACATATTTAAAAAATTACAACAAACGTGGCTGCCGGTCATGTTGTTCGTAAGGCAGCTCACAGGATATAGGAAGTCGGAGGGCAGGTTTTGCAAAAGTAAAACTGATTTGAGGAACTTGGAACAGCTGAGATGCTGTACCACTTTGCTGTTGCTTCATTTGTGATAGAGGAAGATGATTCCACAAGTTTCTATTCTATTTACTGTAAACTTTTGAGTGGAGTGGCTCAATTTGCCTTGGAAACAAAATATGTAACTCTTGCATAGCCTGTGATATAAAGGACACAATGGCTATTATGTGACAAAGATGATACTAATTCAGGAAGCTTCAAGAATCAAATAGCCATTAGATTGCCAGATACTGCTTGGAGTTAACATTAAGTCACTTTAAGGCCCCATGAGATGATATATTTAAAAACACTTTGTAATATTTAAAAGCCTGCAGAGATTATTATTATTTCATCATGGAGGCTAATAAAAATCTATCCTTCACAACATTATTGACCTTCATAACTTTTAACTTCGTGGCCAGACTAAACCTAAGAATAAGAAAGCCTGAAATTATGCAGATTGGCATAAATTTCAGTCTGTTTCATGAGACTCCTATGTTTGAAACACAGCATTTTCTTCACTGCTTTGAATTTTCTAACCACTGTATTTAGTGTATGTGATGATGATAAATAAAAAACTAGACTGTGTGAAGAATTACTATGTGCAAGGCATGGTACTGTGGTTTATCCGCCACCTGTTTAATCCTTATAATGATCTCACAAATGGGAAATAATAATAACTACTAGTTTTGAGGGAGTATTATATGCCAGTCACAGTTCTAAGGAATTTTCCTATGTCCATTCTTTAGTACAAGAAACACATGTGGCAAACACTGTGCTTTTCCCCATGTTACAGATGAGGAGATGGAGAAGCCGGTGCTGCTCCTTGCTGGTGGTGATAGAGCAGAACCTCATGCGAGCAATTCTGCTCCTTGATCTGCTCTCACACTCAACTCTCAAGGCAACGCCCTCCTGTACACAGAGGAAACCCCGGAGTTCAAGGCCCAGATTTAAGCCAGTCTGACTGCACAGATGAAATTGCCAGCAAGAAAAATAACAGTAAACGTAGTAAGATTAACCCCAAATTTCAAAGTTCTAAAAATCCCCATATTAAAGATACATACATATAAATCAGCTATAAGAAAAAAACTGCAAAAAAGCATAAGCGTGTGAAAGCTGCACAATATGCTACTGAATAACCAATGTGTCACTCAAAAAAATCAAAGAAGATATAAAAAATATTGGAGGCAAATGAAAATGGAAACAACCTATGCAACTCAGCAAAGATACTTCTAAGAGGAAAGTTTATTGCAATACAAGCTTACCTAGGGAAACAATTAAAAATCTCAAATAAACAATTTAACTTTACACCTAAAGGAACTAGAAAGGAAGAACAAGCACAACCCAACGCTGGCAGGAGGAAAGACATAATAAAGATCAGAGCAGAAATAAAGGAGCTAGAGGCTTAAAAAGCAATAGAAAAGATTAAACAAAAACAGTACAAAAGATTAAACTAAGAGCTGGTTCTTTGAAATCTTTTCAAAATTGATAAACCTTTAGCCAGGATCATCAAGAATAAAAGAGAGAGAGCACAAATCAATAAAATCAGAGAGGGAAAAGTAAAACTATGATCAACACCACAGAAATACAGAGGATCATTAGAGACTACTAAGAAATGGACAACTTCTTAGAAATGTATAATCTAACAAACTAGTGAATATAACAAAAAATAAACAGCCTCACAGACATAGGAAACAAACTAGTGGTTATCAATGGGGGAAGGGAACAGGGGAGAGATAAAATAAGAGTAGGGGATTAACAAGTAAAAGCTGTTATGTATAAAATAAGTAAGTTGCAAGAATATACTGCACAACACATGAAATACAGACAATATTTTATAAGAACTATAAATGGAGTGTAACTTTAAAAAATTATGAGTCACTATGCTGTGCATCTGTAACTTATATAATATTGTGCATCAAATATACTTCAGTTAAAAAAAAGATTAAAAAAAAAAAAGAAAGAAAACAATAAATATACCTGATTGTGGGATCCAGAGGAAAAGAAACTAATTCTAAGTTAAAAGGTTAGAAGAACTTCAAGAGGAAGTGTGGAGGGCTGAATAATACTGCCCCTTACTCCCAGTCAAGATGTCAACATTTTAATTTCTGGAATTTGTGAATCTGTTTCCTTACATAACAAAAATGACTTTACACAGGTGATTAAGTTAAGGACCTTGAGATGGAGAGAGAGTCCTGCATTATCCAGGTGGGCCAGGTATAAGCATGAGGATCCCTCTAAGAGGGAGGTGGTAGCATTAGAGTTAGAGAGAGAAGATGAAAGGATGGGAACAGAGGTCAGAGAGAAGGGGAGATGCTCCACTTCTGCCACTGAAGATAGACGGAGGAGACCCTGAACGGAGGAATGCAGGCAGCCTCTGGAAGCAGGAAAAGACTGGAAAATGAGCTGTCCTCTACAGGTTCCAGAAGGAATGAGGTCCTGCTAACATCTGCAGTGTATCCCCGTGAGACCCATGTTTGACTTCTGACCTCTAGAACTACAGGATGATACATTTTTGTGGTAATTTGTTTTAGCAGTCATAGGAAACTAACATAGGAGTAATACTCAACTAAGCTAAAAAGGAAAGTAGGAGTTATTAAAGAAGATATTAAAAATATTCTGAGGCAGAAGAAGCCATGTCCCCACAGGGGAGTATGGAGTCCTCTACATGTTCCAATAGACTTATCTGCATGCTTTGTTCTTATTAAGTTTATTTGATTGAAGTATAGGGGCTTCCCTGGTGACTCAGTGGTGAAGAATCTGCCTGCAATGCAGGAGACCTGGGTTTGATCCCTGGATCGGGAAGATCCCCTGAGGAGGGAATGGCAACCCACTCCAGTATGCTTGCCTAGGGAATTCCATTCCCAGTCCATGGGGTTGCAAAGAGTCAGACACAACTGACTGACTAATACACACATTGAAGTATCAGTTTAGTTCAGTTCAGTCACTCAGTCATGTCCGACTCTTTGCAACCCCATGGGCTGCAGCACACCCGGCTTCCATGTCCATCACCAACTCCCAGAGCTTGCTCAAACTCATGTACATTGAGTCAGTGATGCCATCCAACCATCTCATCCTCTGTCGTTGCCTTCTCCTCTTGCCTTCAATCTTTCCCAGCATCAGGGTCTTTTCCAATGAGTCAGTTCTTTTCATTAGGTGACTGAAGTATTGGAGCTTCAGCTTCAGCATCAGTTATTCCAATGTATATTCAGGACTGATCTCCTTTAGGATGGACTGGTTGGATCTCCTTGCAGTCCAATGGACTCTCAAGATGCTTCTCCAACACCACAGTTCAAAAGCATCAATTCTTCAGCACTCAGCTTTCTTTATAGTCCACCTCTCACATCCATACATGACTAATGCAAAAACCATGGCTTTGACTAGACAGACCTTTGTTATCAAGGTAATGTGTCTGCTTTATAGCATGCTGTCTAGGTTAGTCATAGCTTTTCTTCCAAGGAGCAAGCATCTTTTAGCTTCATGGCTGCAGTCACCATCTGCAGTGATTTTGGAGCTCAAGAAAATAAAGTCTGTCACTGTTTCTGTTGTTTGCCTACCTATTTGCCATGAAGTGATGGAACTAGATGCCATGATCATAGTTTTTTGAATTTTAAGTAAGCTTTTTCATTCTCCTCTTTCACTTTCATCAAGAGGCTCTTTAGTTCCTCTTCACTTTCTGCCATAAGGGTGGTGTGATCTGCATATTTGAGGTTATTGACATTTCTCCTGGCAATCTTGATTCCAGGTTGTGCTTCATCCAGCCCAGCATTTTGCATGATGTACTTTGCATATAAGTTAAATAAGCAGGGTGACAATATACAGTCTTGTACTTTTCTCTCAATTTGGAACCAGTTCATCGTTCCATTTCTGGTTCTGACTGTTGCTTCTTGACCTGCACACAGATTTCTCAGGAGGCAGATAAGATGGTGTGTTATTCCCATCTCTTTATGAATTTTCCACAGTTTGTTGTGATTCACACAGTCCAACATTGTGTGTGATACACACAAACAAACATTGAAGTATAGTTGATTTATAATGTGTTAATTTCTGCTGTACAGCAAAGTGATTCATATTATATAAAATTCTTTTCCTTTATGGTTTATTGTAGGATATTGAATATAGTTCCCTACTATATGGTAGGACCTTGTTGTTTATCCATTCTATAAATAATAGTTTGCATCTGTTAATCCCAGGCTCTCGGTCCTTCCCTCTTCCACCCCTCCTCTTCTTGGCAACCACCGGTCTGTTCTCTATGTCTGTGAGCTGGTTTCTGTTTCATGGATAAGTTCATTTGTGTCATATCTTAGGTTTCACATGTAAGTGATATCATATGGCATTTATTTTTCTTTTTCTGGAAAGAGATTTACTTCACTTAGTATGATCATCTCTCCATCTATCCATGTTGCTGTAAATGGCATTATTTCATTCTTGTTTATGGCTGAGTACTAGTCTATTGTGAATACCAAAGTATTTCATTCTCTTTTTATGGTTGAGTAGTATTCCAGTGTGTATACTTCTCTATCCATTTATCTGTCAATGGACATTTTGGTTGTTTCCATGTCTTGGCTATTGTGAATAGTTCTGCTCTGAAAATAGAGCACCATGTATCTTTTTGAATTAGCATTTTGTCTGGATACATGCCCAGAAGTGGGGCTACTGGATCATATGGCAACTCTATTTTTAGTTTTTTTGGGGGAACTTCTATACAATTTTCCATAGTAGCTGCACCAATTTACATTCCCACCAACAGTGTATGAGGGCTCCCATTTCTCCACACCCTCTTTAACATTTGTCATTTGTAGCATCTGCATACTTTTGACTTTTAATTTTCTGAGTCTTTTTTATGGACACTGTGTATTTTTAAAGTCTTTGAATGTCATCTTTGGACACCAGTCCATGTTCAGTGATCTCCTTCAATATTTGTATCAAAAC